CCTGAGTGTTTGGGCCACCCCATCCTGCACCCCCTTCTTCCCACTGCCCATGCCCCACCACCTTCCCGGGCGCAGGGACACTCAGCCAAGCTGTTGTGGATTTGGTCTAATGGAGCTTAGCTGGCGGAGCAGATTGCCCTGGGGGGGCGGCAGGCGGGGCTGGCCTGCTTGGGGCTTTCTCATCTTCCAGAGACAGAGCTTTGCAGCTCTCTCCATGTAATCTCACGATGGCCCCTCAGGGAGCCCAGCCTGGGGGGTCAGGGCCCAGTCCCCACGAAGCCTGCCTCGTGGCCACCCCGCCGCAGCTTTCCAGCCTCCGTGTCCCCCACCAGTCTGCGTCTCTCAGCAAGGGGTGTCCAGCTCGCCCAGCTGTGCCCCCATGGCAAAAACACGATGTCCCCTCCCTCCGTGTCCGCGGCCAGCCAGGGGAGCTGAAGTGGCCTTGCCAGGGTGAGGGAGGGGACAGGGGACATGGAGTCTGCTGGATGCTTCCCTCAGCAGCTGAAAGATAACCGCCATCACTCCCATCGTGCAGCTGGGGAAACTGAGGCTCAGGGTGAGGGGTGGGTAAGTGGTACTGTCAGGGGTCAGGCTTGTCCCCTGGCTCCGAGCTCGGCAGGGGGAGAAATGGCTCACTCCACAGGTCTGGGGACCCTGAGCCAGCAGGGCTGGGTGGCCGTGGGGACCTGCGTGCAACGATGAGGATTTGGCTCAGAGGTCTAGGACCACCCTTCGGGTCACACTGTCTTGTGCCATACAGGCCTCTGTGGGGACCCTCATAGAGTGTCAGGGTCCCTTGTTGGCACAGCTGCTGGTGAGGGACCGGCAGCCCCCAAAACGTGGGCTGAGTGGCCATGAGCCCCTTCTGGCTTCCGGGCCTGGTCCCAGCAGCTTCACACTTCCCAACCAGTGGCATCTTCGTGCAGAGATGACCGTGCCTGCCGCGGTCACCCCTACTTCCAGGCTGTCCCCATCTACTGCCCACAGCCAGGGACAGGGGAGAGATGGTGCTCTCAGGCCAGCACCATCTTCAAAGGCTCAGGCGGTGTGCTCTGCTTTACCAGCTGGGAGTCAGAATGAGAAAGGGTGGATCGATGGGTGGTGTCCAGTAAAGCCTGGGTCAACGTGAGCAGCACCCCCAGGCTGCTCAGCAGGCCCCATCCAGAGCCTCCTCCCCAGCCCTCTGTGGGTGTCTGGGGCAGGCCATCTTCAGCACCACGGACAGCGGTCACCTGGCACTGCCCCTCGAATCCACCTCCTCACCCACTGGGCCTGGCCTTGGGGTGTCTGCGTGTGGGGTGCATTGGAGCTCTGGTCTGAGAGGCCATGAATCTGGCACCGAGAGCGACAAGACAGGACTGGGGCCCTCCACCCCGCTGGGGGAGATCTGGCTATGGGCGCCGCTGCACGAGTGGGAAGGTGGTGCAGTGCTGGTTCGGCACCTGCTACCCCACTGGTCCCGGAAAGACCTGAAGGGGAGGGAGGTGGTGGGAAAGACTGGCATCAGGCCAGGCTGGGGGCAATATGCTGGAAGGGTGGGGCCCGCAGGGTGCGCATGGTACTTGAGAGGTCCCCCAACAGACAGGATCTTTGCTCCCAGTGCTGAGAGAGGCTCTGGGACCCCGTCTCTCATTTATGAGCATCCCCCCCACCAGCCTGGGTGGTGGTGCAGGCCCAGCCCAGGCCCTGGGAGGTTCCTGGAGCTGGATGGGCTGGGGCCAGGGTAGTCAAAAGGATGTGGGTCAGGGGGCTTGTGGCCGGACAGAGCCTCCCGGGGCTCTGGGGTCCTGTGGCAGAGACCACATCACTCAGCGTTGGACTCGGGCCCTGGGCAGCGCCACAGCCCCCTCCCTGTGCTGGTATGGCCACCGCCTCCAGACTGCACATTACCTTGGCTTCCTTGAACCCATGGTGGAAATTGACTCTAATTTGTAGAAGTTGGTTCAAAACCTAAAGAATTTTTAATTAAAACCCAGAAAATCCATCTGTGTAATTAAGTTACTGGGCTCTGGATGAGGAGCCGGCTGGCCCTGCCTGTCCTCAGCTGCCCACTAAGGTGTGACCGGGGAGGGGGCTGGCCTTGCGCGTGCAGGGGGCCGCTCCAGCCCTGTGACCCCTGGGCCGGCTGCCCCTGTCTCTGGGGAGCCTCCTGGCCATCTGCAGGGCCAGTGGAGCCCCTACCCAGGACAGGAGGTGCAGGGCAGTTCTTGGGGTGTCTCGGGAGAACCGCACATACATGTGACACCTTTACACAGACCAAGGCAAGATCTTGGGGCTCGGGTGCAGAACCCTAGGGTCTTTTCACTCCCAGGTGTGTGTGTGGGGTGGTGGAGCAAAAGAGGCAGAGGCTGTATCATTAGGATGGTAACCCGAAAGGGGCGAGGGTCCTTGAGGATGGATGGAGAACTTTCTAGGTGCCTGGTTTGGTTGTCCCAGCCACCCCAGTAGTGTCCCCACTTCTTGGATGAACCTGCTGGGCACTCAGCCTTCTGCCCCTTGGGGTCCTGAGCCTGCCAGGCATGCCTCACGGGTGGGGCAGGCAGGCCAGGGCCCATAGGACCAGCAGAGTCAGGAGGAAGCCACGGTTGGTGGGTGGGCTTCGCTTGTCAGCAGTTTGGGAAGATGTAGAGGTAGGACCCCAGCTCAGGGACTCTAAGCAGAGCTGTCTTTTCCAGTTGCTTCGGGCCTAGTTTATGGCTTATCCTCGGAGTGAGGGCCCCTCCTAGCCCCTCCTAGCCCCTGACCTGAATAGTCTCGTGGATCCTGGCCTGAATCTAGATTCGCTGGCCTCACAGCCCAGGATCACTGTTGAGGACAGAGGTCCTCAGCTTTGACACCAGCTCTGGGGTCCGGGGCAGGTCCCCTGCAAGAATCCCCAGACCAGAAGATGCCTTTACCTGCCCCTTTCATCCCCACCTGGCCCTCTGCTCCAGGGCCACACCACGGTGTGGCTAGATGTCTTGAAGTACTGTGTGTGTGTTGGGGGTGGGGGTAGCAGTGTTTGTTAGGGGCTTGAGCGTAGCTGGTAGGCTTTTTCCGGGCTAGGTACAGGGAGGGCATGAATATCCATCACCTGATGGTGGAGGGCACCTGGTAGTTGAGGTCATTCTCCCTGGTCTGGGCGATGTGAATGAGCTTGGGCACAGGCGGGGGAGAAATCGGGCCATGGGCTGGAGAGACAAGAGTCCCAGGTGTGGGTGAATGGTACTGGTGGACAGGAGAAGCTGGGGGGCCAGGGCTCGACTGGGCTGGAAACCCTACTACTGGGGCAGGATGTCTGCAGGAGTGGGAGGGGGGAGCACTCAGGGTACAGGGAGAGCTCAGCATGTTGGGACAGGTTCAAAAGGGGCAGACAGCTCCCACACCCTCACTGGGTGGGTGCACACCCGGGGGCCCAGGCTGGTGTGCGCTGCCTCCCAGGGCGGGGGGTCGGGGGGGGGAGCGTGCACCTGCGTCTACCTGGGTCAGGGTTGGAATGCACTCCCTCACACTGTCCGACCGTCGCCTGCCCTCCTGTCGCCCACCCGGGGCCTCCTGCTCTCCTGCCGGGCCTCGTAGGGATGTGGAGGGTATGGGGGGTTCATCTCCTTGCAGGCGGGTCTGCTGACCCATTCTGTTTAACTGGGAGCATCCCACCTACTGTGACACGCACAGATGTTCCTCCTCAGAGGTGTGACTGCAGCAGTTAAGGGACAAAGGGTCAGGAGGCCAGGAAAGCGGTGCAGCCTGAGCCCCCCATGACACAGCCTGGGACCGGGTCTGTGCAGGGGGTCCCCAAGATGCCCCGATGGAGCCTTGCTGGTGCACATAGGTGCAGTTGTCAGCCACGGCACTGTGGCCCCCCACCCCCACCCCACGGGGATGGCCTGGTCCCGGCCCAGCACCTGAGCAAGCATGTGTGCCAGGCCCCCCCAGGTGGGGCTGGGGGCCGCGGGGTGCTGCTTTAGTGGGAAGCTGGCTTCTGTTCCCTGCAGCCAGACCTGGCCCAGGCCCTTGTTACCGCCGAGCCCATTAACCGTAATTACGGCGCTCTGGGCAGGCACGTAATGATGGTGCTGGCCTGGTGCCATGCTGTACTGTGCGCCGTTGGCCCTGCCCCCGCCCCTGCCCCGGGGGGGTGCTGCTTGCAGACCCTGACGTGGGGATGGCGTGTGGGGTGCACAGAATGCCTCCAAGCCCTCCCGGCCACCAGGGGTATCCGTCTGCATCCACAGGGTCTGCATGGAGCCTAGCTCCCCCACGCAGCCCGGCCCTTCTTCATGCCTGACCCAGCCAGCCTAGCAGAGGGCTTCCCCAGTCCCTAGCGAACTAACTGGGGTGGGGGCGCGGAGTGCACCCCTTCCCAGAGATCACCGCCCTGGGCCAGGCCACCATTCAGCCTGCGTGGAACCCCAGCGCCACCTAGTGGCTGTTCCCAGCATGTCCGGGAGGTCACACCTGGGCTGTGGTCCCCACACCCGGGAGCCTGCAGGGTGGCCGGGGTGCGGAGTGTGTGAGGATGCGGCACACTCTGCTGAGCTGGCTCCCGAGGCTCCCACCCCGCCTGGATGCCCACTCGCTAGCCGGAGACTCCTGGACAGGGCCAGTCACTTGGGCAGCTTCTGCTCTGGGACCGGGGGGCCGGGGGTGGGGCAGGGCGGCGAGGAGGGCTGCAGGTCCCCCACGCCCAGCTGCCGAGCTGATGGAAAGCTCTCGTTCCTCATCCCAGTAGCTGTGGTCAGGGTACCCTCGGCCTGCTGGAGTCACGTGGGGGTTAGCACAGGCACACCCCCACGGTGTGTGTGCATCCACAGCACGTGTTGGGGCCCAGGCCGGACAAAGCCTGTGAGATGGCTCCCCGAGTGTCCAGCCTGAGCTGAGGTACCGGTGTTGTGGGGAGCCTGTCCTCTGGCCCCTGCCCAGGGGCCCACGTGGGGGTGTGCTGGTGCTGTACACAGTGGCCAGGGTCGCGGCTCTGCCTCTCAAGGCCCAGCTGACGGGGTGCTGGGGGTGGGTCCCAGGGCCCCGCTCCCCGTGCTGCTCCCCTGTGGCCGTGTCGCAGCCTCCGGCATTGATCCTTAATTCGGCCGCCTGCTCCACGTGGTTCGAGCACGTCAGCATGCTGGTCATCATGCTCAACTGCGTGACCCTGGGCATGTTCCGGCCCTGTGAGGACGTCGAGTGCCAGTCAGAGCGCTGCAGCATCCTGGAGGTGGGCCCGGGGGCATCCGGGGGGCGGGGGGCACAGCCCACTGGCCATGGCCAGCCTCAGGGTGACCAGCTGGCAGGACTGGGTCTCAGGCCCCGCCTCCCTCCAGGCCTTCGACGACTTCATCTTTGCCTTCTTCGCGGTGGAGATGATCATCAAGATGATCGCCCTGGGTCTCTTTGGGCAGAAGTGCTACCTGGGGGACACGTGGAACAGGCTGGATTTTTTCATCGTCATGGCGGGGTATGAACCCCTGGCCACCAGAGCTAGCTGGTGCAGGAGACCCAGTGGCATCGGTGCCTGACCAAGCCTGGCTGGGAGCCCTGCCCCCCTCGGGCCCCGCTGGCTGCCCCGGGGTCTGGCTGCCCCGGGATCCCACCAGGAAGAGGGATGGGGGTGCACTCTGCAGGGGTCCAGTGGGGCCGATGTTGGGAGGCGGCTGGGGGTTGGGGGGCCAGTGCGGCCTCTGCCAGGGAACAGGGCACTACCCCACAGCAGTAGGGGTGGCAGGACGGACACAGATGGTCTGTGAGTGGTGAGGGGCTCCAGGGAGGCTCGGTGCACAGCTCCGGGACCAGGCCTCCCGGCCTCGGCTGGCAAGGTGCCCTGGAGAAAGGTGGTGCTCACCCCTGCCCCCGGGGCCCTGCCCACCCCCTGAGCTTCCCTGTCCCTCTGCCGCTCCCCCAGCATGATGGAATACTCACTGGACGGACACAACGTGAGCCTCTCGGCCATCCGGACGGTGCGCGTGCTGCGGCCCCTGCGCGCCATCAACCGTGTGCCCAGTGAGTGACCCCTCCCCTGGGACAGGGCTGTGTGTCCTGCCGGCCCTTACTGAGAGCTCTCCAGGGTTCCCTGGGGTACAGGAAGTCTACATTGTCTGCTCCTGGACTCCCCAGCCCTGGGGAAGGGGAGGCAAGTCTGCTGCTCACCATGGGTCCCTGAGGATTGGCCACTTCTTGTCTGGAGAGGACACGGCAAACCTGGACCAGGTTGGGGTGTGACAGGCAGGCTGCGTGGGGTCTGGGCTCCCCACCGTGCTGCTGGGCGAACCTCAGACTCCCCATCTGCACATTTGGGGTAACACCGGGGGCTGCATGGGCCCTGGTAGTTTCATTGTCTGGCACATGCGGGGCGAACCTCAGGCCCTAACTCTGCCAGAGGGATCTGGTGCTTCCGGGAAGCCTAGAGAAGCTTCCAGAAAGTCTAAGTGGCTGCTTGTTTGGAAAACGGCCTGTTCTCACACAAGGGGATGGTTTGGGATTTTTTTCCATCTTACAAGTATTCACTGCTGTTACTTCTCCCAGGCAGGAGGGCAGTGTCCGTGGTACACCGTGTAAGGGGTGCATACACATGTGTGCACGGGTCTGCACATACCACGTGTCAATACCATGTATACAGCCTTTCCAACCGCTGGGCCCGAGTCCTGGTGTCCTCAGCACCCAGGCCTGGGCAGTCAGGGCAGGTCCCACAGCTTCCCCTAAGAAGTTGCACACCCTTAGGGACAGGTACATCCTTCCCCGGGCCTGTCCACTCCACCAAAGGGCTGGGGTCATGGAGGTGTGCTGTGCTGTGGGACCCCTGGGCCTTTTTTCCACCTGCCCACCTGGCTCTATGCTCAGGGGTCAGACGGCGCTCAGATGCCTTGTGAGTCCGGGGAAGTTAGCCTGAGCTTCTGTTTTCCCATTGTAACAGCCAGATGTTAGTGGTACCCAGAGAGGCTGTGTGAGGTGAGGTGATGTGTGCGGCTCCCAGCTGTGCCTGGTGCCCACCACACAGACAGTCTGCCCTCCTGGGCCCACCTGTGAGCGCAGTAAAGTGGCAACGAGACCCATCCCTGCAGATGTGTCCTTTTCAGCCTGTCTGCATCCAGCATTGCACACCAGCAGCCTGGCCTCCTCTGGGGACACCCCCCTGTCCCAAATAGGGAGCCTGCCCTGGACAGGATCAGATGCTCCTTATAATGAGCCCCAAAAGGTCACACTCATGGTTGCATCTCCCTGGGTGCCTGGGGTTCTCTCTGACCCCTGGATCGTATCTGTGACCCTTTGAGCCAGTTGATGTCTGGCCAGGGCACGTGCCTCCTGATCCCGTGCATCCCTCGTGAATCTTCCTCTCAGCCGTTTCTGACATTTCAGTGCCACTCCTGGCTGTGGCTCGCCCCCCGTGACCCCAGGGGCCTGTTCTGCCATGTGCCGCGCAGCCCCCTCCCCGGGGCGCTGCTCCCCGAGGCCTTGCACCTCCCCCCTCCCCACCCCCTGGCCCAGGGTGCAGTGTGCTGCTTTGTCCCTGCCCTTGCTCATCTGGGGAAAGGAGTCATCCTTGCTGAGGTCTGGGAGGGGATAGGCCCAGGTAAGTGGGGGGCACATAGGGCTTGGCTGGCCCACTCCCAGATTAATTTGCATTCATCCAGCGCCCAGGCACAAGGGCTTCAAAACTGCCTCTCAAAAAACCGCCACCTGCCCTGGGAGTCCCTCCCTCCAGTGCAGGGCTCTCCTCCAGTGCAATTTGCACAGGGCATGGGAAGAAATTCTCCTTGTAAGACCCCAGGCTCCTAAGTGTTGGAGGCAGCCCAAAGCCTGAGCTCCTGGGGGACCCTGAGGCTGGGGCTGTTGGACTCCCTCAGGGCCTGCGGAATGTGTGGGGACTCAGTACAAGTCCCCCCCGGAGTTGCTAATACCCATTTGTGAACGGCGGGAGGGCTCAGGGCCCACTAGAGGGGCGGGGGGCTAGAAGGAGCCCGGGAGGTCTCTGCTGTGCTGACTTCTTTCCCTGCCCCTGCAGGCATGCGGATCTTGGTCACGCTGCTGCTGGACACTCTGCCCATGCTCGGGAATGTCCTTCTGCTCTGCTTCTTCGTCTTCTTCATTTTCGGTATCGTCGGTGTACAGCTGTGGGCCGGCCTGCTTCGGAACCGCTGCTTCCTGGACAGCACCTTTGCCAGGTGCAGGGGCTTAAGGGCTCTTCTGGCTTGTGTGCCACCAGCAGGCTCCTCCCCTCCAGCCCCACCCCCTGATGCTCCCCCCTCCAGCCCAGCCCCAGGTGCTCCGCCCCCAGCAGGCTCCTCCTCTTCCAGCCCCACCCCCAGCAGGCTCCTCCCCTCCAAGTCCACCCCAGATGCCTCGCCCCCAGTAGGCTCTTCCAGCCCCACCCCAGCAGGCTCCGCCCCCAGCAGGCTCCGCCCCTCCAGCTCCGCCCTCCCCAGGCTCTGCCCCCAGCAGGCTCCTTCCCTCCAGCTCCGCCCTCAGCAGGCTCTGCCTTTAGCAGGCTCTTCCCTTTCAGCTCCACCTCTAGGGACACGCCCTTTTCAAGAGTATTTTTAATTGGGGTTCTGTCTTTTGGATCTATTCCTGTTTTTTATGTTTGTTTTTATGTGTGCTTTTGTCTCTTTTTCTGCTAATTTGTCCATTTCACCGTTTTTGTCCACTTATCTCTTGTTTTTATCTTTTCCAACTCTGTATCTCACGCTGTTTCTCTTTGTTTTTCTGTGTCTGCGTCTCTCTCTGTATCTCTGCTTCTCTCTCTCGTCTGTGCATCCCTCTCCGGGTGTGTGCCTCCCGCTTGCCTGCAGAAACAACAACCTCAGCTTCCTGCGGCCGTACTACCAGACGGAGGAGGGCGAGGAGAACCCCTTCATCTGCTCCTCGCGCCGAGACAACGGCATGCAGAAGTGCTCGCACATCCCCAGCCGCCGGGAGCTGCGCGTGGAGTGCACGCTGGGCTGGGAGGCTTACGGGCAGCCACAGGCCGAGGGTGCAGCAGGCACCGCCCACAACGCTTGCATCAACTGGAACCAGTATTACAACGTGTGCCGCTCGGGCGGTTCCAACCCCCACAATGGCGCCATCAACTTTGACAACATCGGCTATGCCTGGATTGCCATCTTCCAGGTGGGTCCCTGCTCTCGGCTGAGGGCCTGGGCCTCAGTTTCCCCATCAGCGGGGGTGGGAGGGCATGGCGTGTGCGGGGCCGCGGGGGGACGCAGGCGAGGAGGCCCCTGCCACCCTCCCAGGGCCGTCCGTGTGTGCAGCCGCCTGCCCCCCCAGGTGATCACGCTGGAGGGCTGGGTGGACATAATGTACTACGTCATGGATGCCCATTCCTTCTACAACTTCATCTACTTCATTTTGCTCATCATTGTGAGTGCGGGCGACGGGGCGAGTCCCGGGGGCTGGGTGGGGTGTTCATGGCCACCAGTGTCTGTGGGTGGAGGTGCCCTGACAGCGGGACAGCCGGCCGCAGACCCCAGAAGTCCCCTGTCGGTGGGCGTTGTCATGTTCCCGACGCCATGCCCTCCCAGCCTCCGCTGACTCTCAGGGTTGCTGCACCGGCTGAGCTGCAGGGCAGGGCAGCAGAGAGCCAGGGCTGCCCACGGGGTGGCAAGGGACTTCTGCCCGGCCCCCAGCAGGAGGTAGTTGGGGGGTGAAGCCCACCTCCAGGAGGCCTCAGGCAGCACCCCAGGCCCTCCCATGGCTGGGTCCTGTTTGGAGGCTGCAGAAGACGCAGGACCATGTCTTGGGGTCCCAGCCTTCCCCCCTGTTTATGGGCCTGCAGACACAGCACTGCACAGAACAGGTCACCCCAAAGGCATGGGTCTCTCTAGTGTGGGTTTCCCTGCCAGGCACGGCCCTCCATGGTGTACATGGGCCTCCAGACACGGAGCTGTCACAGGCAGGGTCTGCGAGGACCCCGCTGTGAACAGAGACAGGCGTCCTGCCTCCTTGTTTCTGACCACGAGCAGAGAGTGTTGGAGGGTGATCCTGCATGGAGGAGAGGAAGTTAAGGGGCTTGGAAAGGTCTGCCCTGGGGGGAGGGGGCGAACCGTACAGATGATGGGAAGGAACGTCTCCCCGCCACCCCCGCCCTGCGTGTCCCCCACTGTCCACACGTGGGTTGTCTAGATGGGCAAGCGGCACTTACTCCAAGCCGCCCATGGCAGGTGCTGACATTTGGCTTCGCATCAGCAGGGACCCCACCATCCTAGGGTGTCCGCCCTGGCCCTGAGAACAGGCAGCACATAGTAGGGCTCAGTGTTCCCTCGAGGATTCTGTCACTGCCGTGTTAGAAGCAGCCCCCGCCCCCACTGCCCGCCCCTCCCACCCCTGACACCCTGTGACCCTCTTCCTTAGCTCCCTGGGTTAGCAGCCCAGCGAGTGAGTCGCGGCTGGGTCACGGGAGGCTCACCACTGCCCGCCTGCTGCAGGTGGGCTCCTTCTTCATGATCAACCTGTGCCTGGTGGTGATCGCCACACAGTTCTCGGAGACCAAGCAGCGGGAGAACCAGCTCATGCGGGAGCAGCGTGCGCGGTACCTGTCTGATGACAGTACACTGGCCAGCTTCTCGGAGCCGGGCAGCTGCTACGAGGAGCTGCTCAAGTACGTGGGCCATATCTGCCGCAAGGTCAAGAGACGCACGCTGCGCCTCTACGCTCGCTGGCAGAGCCGCTGGTGCAAGAAGGTGGACCCTAGCAGCGCCCCGCATGGCCAGGGCCCCGGGCGCCGGCCGAGGCGGGCGGGGAGGCACACGGCCTCCGTGCACCACCTGGTCTACCACCACCATCACCACCACCACCATCACTACCACTTCAGCCATGGCAGCCCACGCCGGCCCGGCCCCGGGGACACCAGGCTAGTGCCGGCCGGGGCCTTGCCCTCCCCGCCCTCGCCGGGCCGTGGGCCCCCTGATGCCGAGTCGGTGCACAGTGTGTACCACGCGGACTGCCACGTGGAGGGGCCACAAGAGAGGGCCCGGGTGGCACACACCACAGGCACGGCAGCCGCCAGCCTCAAGGTGGCCACGGGGCTGGGTGCCATGAACTACCCCACCATCCTGCCCTCATCCATAGGGGGCGGCAAAGGTGGTACCGGCCCCGGGCCCAAGGGGAAGCGGGTCAGCGGGCCTCCAGGTGCCGGAGAGCACAGCCCCCTGAGCCTGAGGGGCGCCGACCCCTATGAGAAGATCCAGCATTTGGTCGGGGAACATGGTAAGGACCCACCCCCACTTGTGGAGAGGAGGTGGGACCTGGGCTGGGTGAGCCGTGAGGAAACGGGACTGCTGGGATGTCTTTGCCACTTGCATGCTCTCCAGGAAGGCCCTGAGTACCTCGATGAGCCTAGCTTTTTCCTTTTTCCTTTTGAGCTCCGTAAGAAGGGAGCTGGGGGGGCCCAGGTGTCTTGGACTCTGACACCCCTGGCCTGGAGAGAGGGCACTGGGTCTCCTTCCACCCTACAGCCAGCCCCAAGCAGCCCCAATGTGAGCAAGACACAGCTTTTGCCAACGAGGGTAGGAGAATTTCAAGACTGACTCACCCCGTCAGAGCCCCAGGCTTGTGGCCCCGGGAGAGACCACACGCCCATGTCTGTGGCTGGCCCCCTTTCTAGGTGGGGATGCTGGGGCACAGGGAGCAGAAGGTAAAACTAGGGTCACAGAGCTCCCAAGGGTCTGGGAAGGGGCCAGGGTGGGCCCCAATATACTCATGGTCCCCCCCAGCTGGGGCTCAGCTGCACCCCCCTTAGACGGGCAGTCGGAGGGATGCTGGGTCCCATCAGACCTTGAGGCCTTCCCAGATGGTGTGTGCAGGAGCGCGGGCCACAGTGCATCTGGAGCAGGCAGGGATGTGTGTGGCCGGCCCGCCATGGCACGTGCGCTTCCAGTCCGGCCTGCTCTGTAGGGCTCAGGAGCTGTGGTGCATTGAGGCCACGGCATGCCGTTGGCGTGAGACACACCTCCGGCTCCAGAGACTCCACACAAGAAAACCGTATATGGTGGCTCCTGGGTAGTTTTTGCGTCTCTCTCGTATCAGAGCCACGATGGTTCAGACTTGTTGGGTCAGGTAGAACGTTGAAGTTAATTACACTTGTCGAATGTGGGTATGAGAAAAGGGCTCGCGTTCTGTTTCTATGGATGGCGCGGATGGCGCGTGTGCAGGGAGATTAAGCGTCTCTGCCGCGGGTGCGCACACGTGTACCGCTTACCCCACGGAAGCTTCGCTGGGCTATGGCCTGACCCTTCCTGTGCCCTTCTCCCTGCAGGACTGGGCCGGACCCCCAGCCGCCTGTCGGGCCTGAGTGTGCCCTGCCCCCTGCCCAGCCCCCAGGCGGGCACGCTGACCTGCGAGCTGAAGAACTGTCCGTATTGCACCAGCGCCCTGGACGACCCTGACTTCGAGCTCAGTGACTCTGAGAGCGGAGGCTCGGAAGGCAACATGGTGTATGAATTCACACAGGATGTGCGGCACGGTGACCACCGCGACCCCATGCGGTTCCCCCCGGCAGCAGATGCACCAAGCCAGGGCAGTGCACGGCCGCGGGCGCAGCGGCGGGCGGCCCCGGGCGAGCAGGGCGGGCTTGGCCACATCTGGGCCACCTTTAGTGGCAAGCTGTGCCGAATCGTGGACAGCAAGTACTTCAACCGCGGCATCATGGTGGCCATCCTCACCAACACGCTGAGCATGGGCGTTGAGTACCACGAGCAGGTGAGGGTGGGAGCGGGTCAGGATGGTCCTTGTGACCCTGGGGAGCACGTCCTCCTGTGGGACCCTGTGGATGGGCTCATGGGGGTCGGGGGCTAAGGATGGGTTGGAGCTGGGTGTGGTCTGTCACAGGTTTTTGTCGCTCGACAGATAACTCACAGCTCCTTCGTGGGTTGGGTCTCTGTCAAGTAGTGAACACAGACACACACGGCGTGGTTCCCGTGTGGAGGTTCTAGCCCCACCTGGGGTCCGAGGAGGCCACACAGACCTAGAGGCACCAGGGGCTAAGGACATGCACCCAGTGGTGCTTCTGAGGATGGGACGCCCCCAGCTTAGCTCTCATAGAGGGGCTCCCCTTACAAGAGCCAGGGCCACTGGCCATGCCCACTGTGGTGCTCCTTGGCGGTCACAAAAGGCCAGAGTGTGGAGTGGCCCCTAGGAGGAGGCGGGGGGGTCATGTGTGGCCCCCCCGCAGCTGTGGAAGCTGTCAACCGTGCATGCTGGCCCTCCTCGACCCCTGCCCTGGACCGGGGCCCAGCAGGGAGGGCAGCGGCCAGATTCAGCAGAGGGAGGGGGTCCTTTCTGGGGACCAGGCTGGGTCACCTTGGTGACCAAATGGGAGTTCCTTGTGTCCCACTCTTGGATTTTTCTGGCCACTTAAACGATTTTTTTCATTCTGGAACAATCTGGGGAAAACGCAAGCAGTGGTAAACTTCAGCAAGCTGTATGTGGGGAGGCTCTTTCTGGGTAGGGGGGAGCCGAGGCAGGGACATCGGGAGGCTTTAGGGGAGTCCCTGGTAAGGAAGAGCCTCTGCATGTATGCACACATTTGTGTGTATTCTGTCGTGTACGTGTGCATACGTGCAAGGCTTACCGGTTCAGGTGCGCGTGTGTGCACACAGCAGGTCACGTGTTGGTAAATGCTCAGGCGTGCATACACGCGTGGGAATATTTACACTAGCACGGTGTGTACACGCACACACATGCGCAGACACACAGGTGAGGCAGCATGCCTCAGTAAGAAAGGCTCCTGGAGTGTGTACCACCAGGAAGGGGCGTGTGAGGCCAGCAGGGACCAGGGCAGCAGATCAGAGGTGTCACCCGTGCCGTCTGTACCCTGGGCTCCCCCACGCCCACCCTGGAACCCGGCAGCAAGTGCTCCTGGCCCAGTTCTCATGGCTCGCACTTGCTCTGGTGCTCAGCCGCGCCGCTGGGCAAGTCCAGCAGGGCCCGGGCAGCCGGGACAGCCGGGGTGGGCGCGCCGGGCGGGCAGCAGTCCAGGCAGCATCCGGTTAGGTTGCTTCTGAGCGGCCGCCTTCGTGGAGCCTTACCTGCTCCTGGATTCCTGGGAGCAGTGAGCCTCGTTCACGGCGGGGTGGGAGCTGTGGGGGGGCACTGACGGCCTTTCTGCCACCCACAGCCCGATGAGCTGACCAGTGCCCTGGAGATCAGCAACATCGTGTTCACCAGCATGTTCGCCCTGGAGATGCTGCTGAAGCTGCTGGCTTGCAGCCCGCTGGGCTACATCCGGAACCCCTACAACATCTTTGACGGCATCATCGTGGTCATCAGGTGGTCCCTTATCTCCCACCTGGGCCGCAGGGGCCCGGGAAGCTCCAGGGTCAGGCGAATACCCCCTGAGGGGGCTGAGCCCCAGTCAGAGACAGGCTATCACCGGCGAAGTCCCCTCCCTGGGGCCACGTTCCTCCCCACTGCCACTTACATATAGTCCGTTGCATCTCAGATTGTTTCTAGAACATAGGGGAGCTGTTCCCTGCAGGAACAGAGTAGGCGCTCGCCCACCCAGCTGGAGGTCACGTAGGTCTCAGCCCCTGCAAGGCAGGCGAGCTCGCCTGTGGGGTGTCTGCTGCGGCCAAGTCAACACAAAGGAGTGGGAGAATCTGGGGTAACTGTCCCCCAGGAGGAAGCAGGGCCCTCGGAGTGCAGGGGATCCCCCAGCAGGGAGGAGGCTAGGCACAGCTAGCCGTGAAAGGCACAGGATGGGGAAGTCCAGAGCCCGAGTTCCGGCAGCTTCGGGGGGTCGGCAGCCACCAGGGACAACAGTTAACTAGCGGGCTTCAGTGACACCGCCACGGCTCCTCAGTCTCCTGGGTGCCTGGACACAGCTGCGCCTCTTCTCGGCCAGGGGGTCAAGGCGGGCCGCCGTGGCTCCAGCCGGCATCCCTGCTTTGGGAAGGGGATGTGCAGGGACCTGTGGCCGGAGGACAGGACCCTGCTGACCCCCGCCCCGGCCCACAGCGTCTGGGAGATCATCGGGCAGGCGGACGGTGGCCTGTCGGTGTTGCGGACCTTCCGGCTGCTGCGTGTGCTGAAGCTGGTGCGTTTCATGCCTGCGCTGCGGCGTCAGCTGGTGGTGCTCATGAAGACCATGGATAACGTGGCCACCTTCTGCATGCTGCTCATGCTCTTCATATTCATCTTCAGGTGGGCTGCCCCACCAATAGGGGCAGACCCCTCCCTGCTGCGCCGCCCCATGCTCCTGAGGCTGGGGGGCAGGAGCCTCCAAGTATCGTCACAGATGGATGGCTCCGTGGAATCACTCGCTAGCACCCTTCATGTGCTCACAGCTGAATGGGGGGACGGGACAGGCCCCCAGATGAATGGGTTGGGGACTGTGCCCCAAAGAGAGCAGAGAAGGGGTGGGGGCAGCCAGGCCCAAGTCCATAGCTCTCAGCTGGTATGTGCTGAGCGCCCGCTGTTGGCCAGCCTGGCCTGGGGTCAAGCCCCAATGATGGGCTGGGGCAGAGGACGGCTCAGGAGGCTGAGTGAGACCGGCACCCCGGGTCCCTCCCACCCCAGCCTCAGTCTCCCCACCAACCATTTGGAAGCAGCTGGGCCCTGGGCACCAGGAGGGAGACCCTGTAAACTGGAAGGCTGGGGCCAGGCCAGTGGGGAAGGCATGGCAGAGCAGTCCCTGGGTGTGGAGGTGACCACGCGGAGCTTCACCTGCTGTCCGCCTCCCTGCACCCGTCCCCAAAATCACACACCCCTGCTCTGCCTTCAGCATCCTGGGCATGCATCTCTTTGGCTGCAAGTTCAGCCTGACGACAGACACCGGAGACACGGTCCCCGACAGGAAGAACTTTGACTCCCTGCTGTGGGCCATTGTCACCGTGTTCCAGGTAAAGCCTGGGCGGGCACCACCAGTGGGAATGGGGGTCCCCAGGAGAGCCACCGTCCTGCTCCAAGCAGCCCCCGAGTGTGTGCCTTGGCCTTTCTGAGGCCGGCATGGGGGGATGCCCTGCAGAACCCCTGCCACCCCTGGGCTTGCCGGCGCCCCTTCTCCCCTGGTCTGGGGCTTTCCCTGCCTCTCGGTCCCTCCCCCCAGATCCTCACCCAGGAGGACTGGAACGTCGTCCTCTACAACGGCATGGCTTCCACCTCCTCCTGGGCCGCTCTCTACTTCGTGGCGCTGATGACCTTCGGCAACTACGTGCTCTTCAACCTGCTGGTGGCCATCCTGGTGGAGGGCTTCCAGGCAGAGGTGAGGGGTGGGAGTCCCGCCCAGACTGCCACAGGGAGGGTGGGTTCCTCCATCCTGCAGCCACCACACCTGGCCCTGGCGGTCACTTCAGGGCCCAGGCCTCCCGGCCACGCCTGCCTCCAGGCTGGCCCAGCCCTCCCCAGGGAGTCCGCCCATGGGTGCTAGGTATGGATGGCTCCCACCTGAGGGAGCTGTGCCTCCCACTCTGCGGGGTGCAGGGGGACGCTAACAGGTCCGACACGGATGAAGACAAGACATCCACCCACTTGGAGGAGGATTTTGACAAGTTCCGGGATCTCCGGGCCACGGGTGAGCGTGGTGGTGCTGGGACTCCCGTGGGCAGGCTCTGGGCCGGCGGAGTCCCTTCCTGGAAGCCGCGCAGGTACCAGCCTCCCTCTTCTCTCTCCAGAGATGAAGATGTACTCGCTGGCCGTGACCCCCAACGGGCTCCTGGAGGGCCGCGGCAGCCTGCCCCCTCCCCTCATCATGCGCACAGCGGCCACGCCCATGCCCACCCCCAAGAGCTCCCCACACCTGGACCCGGCCCCCAGCCTCCTGGACTCGCGGCGTGGCAGCAGCAGCTCTGTGGACCCACAGCTGGGTGACCAGAAGTCGCTGGTAGGGACCCTTCCCTGCCCTGGCCTCAGCGCACCCCACTCGCCCGGTCCTCGTGGCCTCTCCCACAGATGAGTGTGGGTCCCACACACCCCCCGGTCACACCGCACAAATCCCTGTCCCCGAGGGGAGGAGGCCGGCGCTCTGTTTTTCTATAAATGGAGCCGGGAACCACCGCTCTTGCAGAAGGAGCGTAAGCAGAGCAGATGTGGGAACGCGTGGCACCCCTTTCCAGCAGAATGCCAGGCGGGGAGTTTCTCTTCTAAATGGGAATAAAAGATAAAAGCCGGCAGAGCACAGAGCGTGCATCAAAGGAGCAATGAAAGGGACGGTGGAAAGGCGGCCCGTGATAGAAGCCAGGCGGGCATCCCACAGAGCCGGCACCACGGGGCTTTTCACGAGGACCCAGGAGATTCCGCCCAGCACCCGGCCCACCGCGGCTTCTAAGGCGGGGAGGGTGGGCCGGGGGGGTAGGGGGGAGAAGCTCACCGCCCAGGGGGAGCTGGGGGTAGGGGGTGTGGACATGGAGACAGGATGTTGCGTGTCTGTAACAGAGAAGCTGCCAGGCTGAGCAGCGTAGATGCATCCAGCCCAGCTGCTGGGGACCGAGCTGGGGGACGGGCGGTGTAGCAGGGGAAAGCCCGGCCCGTGCTGGCCCTGGGAGGGGAAGTGAGTGACAGCAGGGAGGATGAGGCAGCAGAGGTCAATCCCTGTCTCTCCTCAGACAGCAGCTCAGTTTGTCTTTATAAGTCCCAGGCGCTGCCTGTTAGGAGCAGATTTGGGCCCCCGCACCCCAGCCGCTGGGGCGGTGTCTGAGGACGCGTGGCCTGAGGCTGGTCCCAGGCTCGTGGATAAGCACCTGCGCCGGCCCTCCAGCCCACGACGGCTGCAGGTGGCCACCCGCAGCCCGGCTCGACCCTCGGACACTCACTGCCTACGTCTCTAACTCACTGGGGATGGGCTTTGGGCCACAGGCGTGCCGTGGAAATGCCGCCTTGCTGGCTGCTCAGTGGTAGGGTCATCTGCGCAGTAAAGGAGGTGTCCCCCGTGGAGGTGCCACCCACAGTGTTAATAGTGCCATTGGTCAGGAGAGGCCCCTGTGGCCAGGGCCCGGGATGTGTGAGGGGACTTGGGGGGCTGCTGACCCTGCTCACTCCTCACCCCCCACACAGTCCAGCCTCCGGAGCTCGCCCTGTGCCCACTGGGGCCCCAACAGTGCCCGGAGCAGCCGGCGCTCAAGCTGGAACAGCCTGGGCCGCGCACCCAGCCTCAAACGGCGGAGCCAGTGTGGGGAGCGTGAGTCTCTGCTGTCCGGGGAGGGCAAGGGTAGCACAGACGAGGAAGCGGAGGATGGCAGGCCCGGGGCAGGGGCCTCTCCGGGGACACGCCCCACCCCGCTGCGGCGCGCCGAGTCCCTGGACCACCGCAGCACCCTGGACCTGCGGCCCCCACGGCCAGCTGCACTGCTGCCCACCAAGTTCCACGACTGCAACGGGCAGGTGCTGGCCCTGCCCAGTGAGTTCTTCCTGCGCATCGACAGCCACAAAGAGGATCCAGCCGAGTTTGACGACGACATGGAGGATGTGAGTAGAGGCCCGTCCCCATGCCTCCTTCCTGTTGTGGACTCGTTCCGCAAAGCAGAACCAGAGGCAGGGACTGGGGACATGCCCTGCATGGGGTCTCATGCACCCCAGGTCAGGAGCGGGGGAGCAGGACAGGCTGAGCGGCACTTGATACAGGCCACGTGGCCTTAGCTCATCCACGGGGAGCTCTAGAGCAGATTCACCCCAGGGTGGACCCAGCCTCCCGCCCAAGGGAGCTCCCCAGATGCAGAGGAGGGTAGGGCAAGGCTCCCTCAGAAAGGCACTCACCTTGCCCAGGGCAGCTCTGCAGGATGGGAGTCGGCTTGGGGGGGTGGTCTCCGTGGATTCCCCCTGTGGGTCTCTCTCAGTGCCCAGGTGGGGAGGATGAGGCTGGGACAGCTGGGACCCCAGAGGCAGCCGGATGGTGGCTGGCCTGGCCCGGAGGGGCCCTGAGGACCTGCACCCCTCTCCTCTAGAGTTGTTGCCTGCGCCTGCACAAGGTGCTGGAACCCTACAAGCCTGCGTGGTGTCGCAGCCGGGAGCCCTGGGCCCTGTACCTCTTCTCTCCGCAGAACAGGTGAGGGGCACAGCAGGTGGGGGTGGGCCTGCATGGAGCGGACTCTGCCTCCTGAGTCAGTGTCCCCGCCCCCCGCGACTCACTCGCCCCACCCCACCGTCCAGGTTCCGGGTCTCCTGCCAGAAGATCATCGCTCACAAGATGTTCGATCATGTGGTCCTGGTCTTCATCTTTCTCAACTGCGTCACCATCGCCCTAGAGAGGCCCGACATCGACCCGGGCAGCACCGTGAGGCGCCCTTGCGGCCCAGGGGCCTGGGGGTGGGGGCGGGGCCGCGGGGGGGCCGGCCCCGCCCACCGCTCTGTGCTTGCAGGAGCGCGTCTTCCTCAGCGTTTCCAACTACATTTTCACGGCGATTTTCGTGGCCGAGATGATGGTGAAGGTACCGGCAGGCCCGGGAGGAACCCCGTCCCACCCAGCAGCCCTCGCCATCTGTGCTCGTTCCCCCCACACACCTGGGTTCCCCCTCCTCTGTGCCTCCCAGGTGGTGGCCCTGGGCCTGGTCTCCGGCGAGCACGCCTACCTGCAGAGCAGCTGGAATGTGCTGGACGGGCTGCTGGTCCTGGTGTCCCTGGTCGACATCGTCGTAGCCATGGCCTCAGCCGGTGGCGCCAAGATCCTGGGCATCCTGCGTGTGCTGCGTCTGCTGCGGACGCTACGGCCCCTGAGGTAGGCAGGGCGGGGCTGCGGTTCTGGGAGGCCGGCGGGGGGGGTGGTGCTGGGGGAGCTGGGGGCTGCAATCAGGGACGGGCCTCTGCTCTGCATCCAGGGTCATCAGCCGTGCTCCGGGCCTCAAGTTGGTGGTGGAGACTCTGATATCGTCACTCAGGCCCATCGGGAACATCGTGCTCATCTGCTGCGCCTTTTTCATCATCTTCGGCATCCTGGGGGTGCAGGTGCGCGCCCCGCTTGCCCACAGGTGGCCTGGCCGTGGCCCGGTGGTCTGTGGTCCACAGCAGCCCAGTAGCCCAGCAGCCCGGAGACGGTCGTGCAGGGGCGGGTCTGGTGGGACGGGGGCACAGGACCGGGCCCGCGGGGTGACCTCCGCACCCTGGTCAGCTCTTCAAAGGGAAGTTTTACTACTGCGAAGGCGCTGACACCAGGAACATCTCCACCAAGGCTGAGTGCCAGGCCGCACGCTACCGCTGGGTGCGGCGCAAATACAACTTCGACAACCTGGGCCAGGTGGGCGGGGCCAGGGGTGGGGGAGGGGTGGGTGAGGGAGGGGCGCCGGCGGGCCAGCATGCCCCCCTCCTCTGGGGAACCGGAACCACGGGCATCAGTGGGAGTCATCAGCGGGGGTGGTGTGGTCTCTCCATGTCTCTGGGTGGAGGCAGAGCTGCGGTGACCAGCCTTGTTCTGACCCCATAGGCGCTGATGTCCCTGTTTGTGCTGTCCTCCAAGGATGGCTGGGTGAACATCATGTACGACGGGCTGGATGCTGTGGGCATAGACCAGCAGGTACAGGGGGTGGTGGGGACCCACTGGTCTGTCTTCTAGGACGTCTCAAGGAACCTCTCCCCAGGAGGCTTGTTTGCAGCCTCAGAATTTCCAGCCGTCTCTCTCGGGGCCCCATCTCTAACCCCAGAGTGCATGCGCCACCCTTGGGAAGAGGGGCCGGGGGGATGGGCACCCACGTGTCATTTGTATGCCGCAGCCCGTGCCCAACCACAACCCCTGGATGCTGCTGTACTTCATTTCCTTCCTGCTCATCGTCAGCTTTTTTGTGCTCAACATGTTCGTGGGCGTCGTGGTGGAGAATTTCCACAAGTGCCGGCAGCACCAGGAGGCCGAGGAGGCCCGGCGGCGCGAGGAGAAGCGGCAGCGGCGGCTGGAGCGAAAACGCAGGAGTAAGGGGCTCTTGGGGCGGTGGTGGGGGTGGGGGAGTCGTCCCTTCCACCTGCGCGAGCCCCGTGCCTGTGGGACCCGGGTCCAGTGGAGAGGCGAGCTCCCGGACCCGAGCCTGGCCCCGGCCTACCTCACCCACGGGTGTGGTGGGCACCCAGGCAGCACCTGTGTGTGCACGGCAGGCCTGGAGTCCCCTCCCAGATGGCCTGCACTGGGGCGTTCAGAGGAGGGGCCAGGGCAGGGGAGGGCCGCACGGCAGGAGGCGCAGGGGTCTCCTCCCAAACAGCACAGGACGCGAACAAGACCCCCAGTTTTCACTGCCGTGGCTATGGGGCAGATTCACGCCTGTGAGGGTTTTCATACTGCGGGAAGAGCGAGCAAAGCCATCAGAGTTAGACAGGGTCTTAGGGAAGTCCCAGCTGGCTTGGGGGCAAGGAGGGCGTCTGACGCGAGGGTGGGGGGGGGGGCTGCTAAGTGTCCCCACCCAGCCTGCCCCGTGTGGAGTGTTCTCGCCCCACCCCCCCGAGGCCAGCTCAGACCATCTCCTTGTCTTTCCAGGCACTTTCCCCAGCCCAGGTATCTGCCCCCACCCCCGCCCTGCATGTCTCAGCCCCCCTGCTTCTGCCACCCAGCGCATGGGGCTGTGGGCTGGCCTGGCCTCGGTTCTTCCGTGGCTGCGTGGGGAGGGGTGGACCTTGCAGGCTGGTGCCAGGCCTGCTGGGGTCCCTTGCCAGGCGGGCACGGGATGGCTGGGGGTGGGCACCAGGCTTCGGTGGGAGGGGAGAGGATTTGCTGGCTCACCTGCCCGGTGTCGGTGCTGCTGCCTCCAAGCTCGGGCCTGCCCCTCTGCCTGGCTGCGCGCATGGCTGATCCGCTGCATTCTGGGACACCTGCCCAGTTGCAGCTGCTCCGCATCCTCGGCACTGGCCTGATCTGACAGGCTGCCGGCCGCCGGCTTTACGAGCTGAGCCAAGTTCTTCAGTGATGCACGCCAGCCCAAGGGGCATGAGGGTCCCAGGGAGGGGTCGGTCCCCATCAGCCCCTGTCCTCCCAGGCCCTGGGCCAGCCGGCTGGGGCAGCCCTAGCTCTTACCCTGGGCACTGCCTGTGCGGGGTTCTGTGGCCCAGGCGTGTTCCCGTGTCCAGTGGTGGCAGCTGTGCCCTCACCCAGTGCTCAGTGGACTTTGACAAGCCCTAAAGGAGTTACTGCAGACAGAATGTTTAGTGCAGGCAGAACTGTTTGGCGGTGCAGGACCTCTCCAGGTCATGGCCATCGTCGTCAGATGGACCAGAGGTCCGGCAGAGCCCAGACAACAGGCAGTGGCCACTGGTCTCTTGGAGGACAAGGAGGGGAGACACTGTGGGCCTGGTGACCAGGGGTGGCTCATGTCCAGACTGAGATGGAGCCGGGGGCGGGCCCCCCTGCCCTGCGACCACTGGGGCTGGGGACGGGACTGGCCCTGCCTCCAGGAAGGCCCCCATCTGCTCAGTCTTCGTCCTCAACGTGTCTGCGCCCTGCCGTGAGCCCAGGAGAGTGGACCACAAGGGCCAGCTCGGGAGCCCCTGGCAGGGTGGGGACCAAGCAGGGCCCAGGTGGGGTCTCAGCTGCCTGGCCCACGCCTAGCACCTGCCCTGGGGCCAGGGCCCTAGGAGATCAGACGGCGACCTGCTCCTGAGACCCACTTCTGCCCCGCCCCCCAGCCTGTGGTCCCAGCCAGCAACAGGAGCTGGACTCCCTGAGAGCCGCTTCCTTCGTAGAAGGGGTCCCTCTTCCTGGGAGAAATTTTTTCCTCCAGGCTCAGGCGAACGCCCCGTGTCTGAGCCCAGGGCCCTCCCCCAGCAGTCCCCGCGCTGCAGCCTCCCGGCAGACGAGCAAGGACATCCCAGTGCCACCAGGGCGCAGGCAGCCCCTACCCCAGCTCACGGACACCCTCTCCCTGCAGAGGCCCAGCGCCGGCCCTACTACGCCGACTACTCGCCCACCCGCCGCTCCATTCACTCGCTGTGCACCAGCCACTATCTTGACCTCTTTATCACCTTCATCATCGGGGTCAACGTCATCACCATGTCCATGGAACACTACAACCAGCCCAAGGTGGGGCTCGGCCCCTGGAGATGCCCGCCTAGCCTGCCTCCAGGACGGGCCGCGGGGACACAAGCCCTGGGGCGGGGAGGGGGTGGGCCTAGGTGGGGTTTGGCGCTCAGTGGGGTGGCCTGGATCAGAGCTGGGGTGTACTGGGTCTGCAGCTTGGTCCGAGCCCTCCTTGGGGTTTACAGGGTATGTGAAGCTGTGGTTTGAGCAAAGCGTCCTTTTTTTAAAACCGGTTGAAACTCCGAGGGCCCCCTACCCTGGAGCGCCCTCCCCACAGTGGTTCAGTCTGGAAACACTGGCTGTGGGAACATCTGTGAGTCCAGCTGCCTAGGAGCAAGCTGGGCAGGGGGCAGGCAGGTGTAAGGTGGTCAGCTTTTTATTTTCCCCCCATTGTGTCTGTGTCCCCATCATGTTTTGAAGAAGGGACACCCCTGTCCCCCAGCAGAGGAAGGGAGTGGTCTCCACTGGGTCTGGCGTGGCCCCGCCCTGGGTTGTGGGTGGGGGCCCGGTCAAGGTGGGGCCGGGGGTCTGCGCTGGGAGCAGTAGGTGTCCCCCATGTGAGGGCTCAGAACACCACAAGGGTATCTCTAGGCCGTGCCTCAGAGGCCTGGCCCAGCCCCACATGCAGAGGGGAGGTGGGGTGGGCTGACCAGGACACAGGCACTGCGGGCCGGGAGCCTCCGTCCGCAGCCCTGACGCTCTGCTCGCAGTCGCTGGACGAGGCTCTCAAGTACTGCAACTACGTGTTCACCATCGTCTTCGTCTTTGAGGCCGTGCTGAAGCTCGTGGCTTTTGGGTTCCGGAGGTTCTTCAAGGACAGGTGTGTGGGGCGGGCGCCAGGGCCTGGAGAACCCTCGGGGCGGGGCCTCCTGAGAGCCACAGCCCTCCTCCCCCTGGCCGGCCGGAGTCGTGGCGAGGGATGCGCCCAGGGCACAGGATGGAGGTGCTCAGCCCACCCACCACCTGCCCCAGGTGGAACCAGCTGGACCTGGCCATCGTGCTGCTGTCCATCATGGGCATCACACTGGAGGAGATCGAGATGAACGCAGCTCTGCCCATCAACCCCACCATCATCCGCATCATGCGCGTGCTCCGCATTGCCCGCGGTAGGCGGCCCGCCTGTCCTTCCCCGCTGCCCCAAGGCTGGTAGAGGGCCCTGCTGCTGGGCTCCACGGCCCAGGCTCCACATCCTTCCTCTGCTCACCCTGCAGCATCTGCCTGGGGGCCGTGTGGGGGATGGGGAGTGTAAGGGATGGGGGTGGCCCATGGTGTCCCCCAGCAAAGAAGGGTTGGACCGGCCTAGGCCCCACGCCCCCTACTGATGCTCGGCTTCTGGCCCTAGTGCTGAAGCTGCTCAAGATGGCCACAGGCATGCGGGCTCTGCTGGACACGGTGGTTCAAGCCCTGCCCCAGGTAGGTCAGCAGCCCCGCCCCAGTCCAGCGTCATTGCCCCAAGGGTGCGCATTACAGATGCCCCTAGGAGCACAAGGCGCGGGAGGGCCTCACTGGGTCGTTCACTCACATAGTCCTCGGTCTTGTGAAAACTGTGGTAATCAGCCCGCGTGTGCGGGGAGTAACTCAGCTGCGCGGGCAGAGAAGGGCCGGGCGCTTTCTGGGTCTTGGCCTCTGTGGGGAAGGCTGGAAACCAGTGCCCCCTCCCCCGTCCAGTTCTGGATGTGGTGGGCAGAGGACTTGGCCCCAATGGGCTTGTCGGAGTTCAGGGGACCACGTGTTGGCCACGGGTCCCACTCCTCTTTGGAGCCAACTCAGGCCCTGCATCCTCACTTCTTGCACTTACGGCCCCGATCCTAATCCTCTGTGGCCTCTTCAGCTGAAAGAGACCCACGGTCCCATTTATGCTGTACCCAGTCCCTCTGCCAACCCGCCCGGCCATCTGTCCATCCATCTATCCTTGTGTCTATCTGTCCGTGCATCCAGCCCTGCTAGCCGGTCGTCTGTCCCCCATCCAGCTGCTCGCTCACGCCCACACACCTCACACCCTCCCCCCTTCAGTTGTCCCCCACCGGTCCCCTCAGCACCCCCTCAGCCCAGGTCTGTGGGAGCAGCAGGCGGGGAGGAGTGGGGGGACAGGTGCTGGAGAGGCAGGGTCACGGGAGGCACATGAGGATGGGGCACCCCGCCGAGTGCAGCAGGAGGACAGGCTGGAAGAGCCATGGGCAAGCAGGGGGCAGGGTCCCCGCTTCATCTGCACCCATGGGGTCCCCGAGGCTGGAGGCAGGCCCCGTGCAGAGTCCACCGGGGCCCCCGGGACACCCCTGGGGCTCTGAAGAGCAGAGTAGCTGCCGGCAGTGGGGTCTGCGGTCCAGGGTGCAGGGGGGGTGTGAGGAGAGCAGGGACAGAGGTGGGGGTGCGGGGGGGGCTTTGGGTGTCGGGCGGGACAGGAGCCCCGGGGGTCACAGCTCCAGCGCCTGGAGGGATGGGTCCAGAACAGGGCTCCAAGGCAGTGTCTGGGAGCCTGTGGGGAATGTGGGTGAGGGTAGCGAGGTGGGGCGCCAGGTGCCAAGTGCCCAGCAGGTGGGGGCCGAGGCGGCCCCTGACCTCATTCTGCTTCTTTCCTTGTGTAGGTAGGGAACCTCGGCCTACTTTTCATGCTCCTGTTTTTTATCTATGCTGCCCTGGGGGTGGAGCTGTTTGGGAGGCTCGGTGAGTGTGCACAGCCTCGCCCACGCGCATGAGGCCCTTGGGGCGCCGGCCAGGCAGACGCGGGGTGTGGGCCTCCTGCCACATCCTCCCCTGGCCCAGCCCCCATCAGCCCTTCACTGCCCAAGAGCAGCACGGATGGCAGACACACGCGGGAGCATCTGCACACGTGCACGCACGCACGCACACACGGGCTCACGCCCCAGCTGGGGGCACAGAGCCGCACCTGAGCACGAGAAGTACGCACCGGCCATATGCACCCACAAACCCGTGCACGAGTCTCCCTGAGCTTCATGTGCTCCTCTGCCTCCTAATTGTCCTAATTGTCACTAAGGGTGTCCCTCATCCCTCAGGCCTAAGTCTCTGGGCAGGGAGCCGGTGGGGCTTCTGTGACCACCCAGCCCCTGCAGGATCTCCTGAGCACCTGGTCTAACTGAGCAGCCTCCAGGGCGGGACTGCCCATGAGGTGGCTGACGAGGCTCTCCCAGCTCAGGTCTGCCCAGAGCTCAGCAGCTGGTGCCCCAGACCCCAGGCCCGACGAATCCTGGCCTGGCCCGTCATTCACCATGCCTCCTACTCCAAGGCAGCCCTGTCCTGCTGCTGAGGTCTGAGGGCGTGCTGACCCCACAGGCAGGCCTGGGGAGCATGGGTGCTATCTGCTGGGGCTGAGCCAGAACCGGCTGCCACGGCGGACTTGGCCTGTGTACCCACAGAGACCGTGTCCATCTGGAAAGCCCCAAGTCTGAGGCTAGGGCTCCAGGCCAGGCCCAGAGGCAGCCTCTGTGGCTGCGAGAGGAGCAGTCCTGTCCCCACCCCACGCCCACTTCGAAAGGACACGGTCTTCACAGAGGCCAGGGCCCTTTACCCCAGGAGAGCAGGACCTTCTCCCCGGGGTAGGGCAGGGCCCACAGTGGGTCAGCGTGGTCCCCGGGGCCCGGGGTATGCACTGCCCCTGCCGCGCCCACGGGCTGACTGGGCGAGGGTCTCCCCGGCAGAGTGCAGTGAGGACAACCCCTGTGAGGGCCTGAGCCGGCACGCCACCTTCTCCAACTTCGGCATGGCCTTTCTCACGCTGTTCCGCGTGTCCACGGGGGACAACTGGAATGGGATCATGAAGGTACCAGCCCGAGCCCGGCGGCGGCCCCCCCACCAGCCGGCACCCCACACGGGTGGGCGGGGAGGCGGGGCGCCCAGCACCGCCCTTCAGCCGCCCGCCCCGCCCTCAGGACACGCTGCGGGAGTGTGCCCGCGAGGACAAGCACTGTCTCAGCTACCTGCCCGCTATCTCCCCCATCTACTTCGTCACCTTCGTGCTGGTGGCCCAGTTTGTGCTGGTGAACGTGGTGGTGGCCGTGCTCATGAAGCACCTGGAGGAGAGCAACAAGGAGGCCCGCGAGGACGCAGAGCTGGACGCCGAGCTGGAGCTGGAGGTGGCGCAGGGGCCGCCCGCCTGCCCCCGGCCCGTGGCCCAGCACAGCCCAGACGCCCCCGGCTTGCTGGTGGTGCGCAAGGTGTCGGTGTCCAGGATGCTGTCCCTGCCCAATGACAGTTACATGTTCCGGCCCGTGGCGCCCGCCTCGGCCCCACACCCCCGCCCGCTGCGGGAAGTGGACGTGGAGATGTGCTCGGGCGTGGCCGCTGCAGGTACGGCCCCTCCAGGTGGCCCGGGGACTGGGGCAGGCCTCAGGTAGGGTAGTGGCCGCTGAGGGCACCTGCTTTCCTGCCCCAGGCCCAGTGACCTCCGCACACTCCCCGCCCGTGGAGCCCTGCACCTCTCTCCAGGTCCCCTCGGCAGCCACGCTCTCCCCAGCCAGGGACAGCGACACTCTCCATGCCCTGTCCCCTCAGGGTGCAGCCCGCTCCCCCAGCCTCAGCCGGCTGCTTTGCACACAGGTAGGAGAAGCTGCCCCAGTCCTGCAGCCCAGGCCTGGGGGTTCTTCTGTTGTTCCCCCCGACCATGTGAAGGGTGAGGGACAGGGACACCAGAGAAGAGAGTAGGAGCATGTCCCTGGAGCCTGAGACAAAGTGCAGGGTCTTGGGGACCACACCTTCTCAGGCGGCAGCCTCAGTGCCTTGCAGCACCCTGAGCCTTGCCTGCACCCACAGACCTCCCTCCAGCCCCACAGCTTCGGACCCTCTCCCTCCCCCCGACCCCTGTCCTTGGGGTGGTGGTGGGCAGGGTGAGGCTCTGCCCACAGGAGTTCAGGCCCCCAGCCCTCTGTCCTCACCATCCCACGGCACGACCAGCGCTGGTGGTGAGCACCTGGCAGGCTGGTCCTGAGCGGTGTATTCGGCACGGGCGGGGCTGGGGCACAGAGCGTCCCCCCCAGTGGCTCCCAGCCACATCTCAACCTGATCCCTAGGCTCGGGGGTCATAACTCCAATCTGGGGCTTCTCTGGGGAGCGCCATTCCTGCATCCCTGGCTGCCAACTGGGTTCTGCCTGACCTCGTTCCTCATCGGATCCTGGGTCCTTCCTTGCAGGAGACCATGCGCACCGACTCGCAGGAAGGGCATGTTAATGGCCCCAGGGACAGCGGCCCGGGCTGGGGGGAGCCTGGCAGGAAGACCCCTGTGAGGCAAGCGTCCCTGGGGGCCTCCATACGGTCCCCACCCCGGTCCCCGCGGCCCAGCAGTGTCCGCACCCGCAAGCACGCTTTCGGGCAGCGCTGTGTCTCTGGCAGGCCACTGGCCCCAGGAGGGGAGGAGGCTGAGGTCCCGGATCCTGCCGACGAGGAGGTCAGCCATATCACCAGCTCGGCCCTGAGCCCCGCAGCCTCACCCACTGCCCGAGGAGGGGGAGGCAGTGACCCGGACCTGCGGAGGTTCTACAGTGTGGACACCCAGGGCTTCCTGGACAAGCCCTGCCAGGCAGATGAGCAGAGGCGGTCCTCCGGGGAGCAAGGGGGTGGGGATGGCCACCTGGAGGGCAGGGAGGCAAAGGCTCGGGCCCCGGAGGCCGAGCCAGCCTTGGGGGCACGCAGGAAGAAGAAGATGAGCCCGCCCTGCATCTCCGTAGACCCCCCAGTGGAGGATGAGGGCACAGCTCGGGCCCCAGTGGCCGAGGGCAGCAGCACCACTCTGCGGCGGCGGACCCCGTCCTGTGAGGCCATGCCACACAGGGACTCCCTGGAGCCCATGGAGGGGGCAGGGGTGGACCCTGCCGCCAGGGGGGAGCGTCGGGCCCAGGCCCCCTGCCGTGCAGAACACCTGACCGTCCCCAACTTTGCCTTTGAGCCGCTGGACGCGGGGGGCCCTGGCGGAGACCCGTTTTCAGACGGTGGCCATAGTATGGCCCCAGAACCCAGGGCTTCCTTTTCAGGGGCCACAGTGCCTCCTGAACCCCACAAAACAGAGCCTCCCGTGCCCTCCAGCGACCCCCCAGAGAAGGGGCGGGGGCTGCACCTCAAAGTCCTCCAGAGCCCCCCAAAGAAAGCAGGGTCTCCCCCAGCCACCCCCACCCTGGGTAACAGTGTAAACAGGCCCGTGTAGCTCAGGGCATGGTGCCACACAGGTTTTAGCAGTGGGGTTGGGGTGCACCCAGCAGGGTGGCAGCCCCGGGCAGGGCTGTGCGTGGACCCCAGCGCGGGCCCTGCTGCGGCGGAGAGGCCCGTAAGGCTGTCCGCCCAGGGAGGGAGGCGGACACTGGGTCTGGGCAAAGCAGAACAGGGAGGAGCTCCTCAGCCTATGAGCCTCCATCTGGTGGATTCAGGTTTGGGTTTTTCCGAGTTTCGTCACCATGGTCTGAGGCCGTGCCAGCGCCCAGTCGGGTCCCCTGACAGCCGCTGTGTCCCTGCAACAGGGATCAGGAAACGACCAGAAGGAGGCAGTCCAAGGCTACCCAGCAGAGCCCTGTTCTCACGCCCACTTACTTTTCTAGGGAACACGTGCTTGGGGCCACCTGTGCCCTCCTGGGTGGCAGCTTGGTCCCCGAGGCCGCCACACCCATGCTCACTGTCCCTCAGTCTGAGTTCTCACCTGTCCGCCCCACTCCTTGTCACTGTCTCCCCAGCTCCCTTCTGGGCCCACGCCCCACCATTCTGCCCTCGGGTATTCCAGACGCGCCCACGTCGCAGGGGCGTGGGGTCCGTGCAATAAAGTCCCCCGCCGCTGCCGGCGGCCCCGCCTGCACCTGGGCAGAGCGGTGCCCGCCAATGCCCCTGTGTTTCATGGACCTTTCTTTTATAAATTCAGGTTAAACATTGCAATAATCTGATACAGGAAATTTGGCTTCTTAAGGGAAGGGACAGCAGGGGTGGGGGCCAAGCAAAGCGGAATAAATACTAACTTATTTAAGAAATGCGTTGGATTACCACCGGCAGGATCCGTATCCCCGCAAGGGAGCGTGGCCAGCCTGTTGCCTTGCCAAGAGCAGGGCTCGGTGATGCGGGCCTGCGGCCAGCTCCGGCACTAGCCCTGGGGTCCCTGCAGAGGCTTGACCTGTCTCCTCTGGTGGCCGAGGGAGGAGCCAAGTTCACAGCCCTGACCTTTGACCGGCTGGGCGCCCTGCTGCCCTCTCAGGGCCCAGGGCTCGTGCGAGGCATGAGAGCGGGTACAGATGGGCCCAGACAGGGTAGAACTTGAGATCTCTTGAGAGTCCCACCGGCGATGGCTGTGACCATGCTGGCTGGTGGCCAAGCCCAGTGCAGACCAGCTCCAGGGTGGGGTCCAGGCCCTTCCCTTCCAGCCACGTAGCAAAGCAGGAGCCCGCCATGGCCTACCATAGCCTCCTCAGGGGTGGTCTGAGTTGTGGGAAGCCCCACCTGGCTGTGGCCAGAGCCTCTCTGCTCTGACCCCAGTGGGCAGGGCAAACACCAAGGCCTACAGGGTCTCTCTCTCATCTCAGCCCCCAGGTTCACCCCCAATCTCTCTCGGCCCACAGCTTCCCTGGGGCCGGGGTGTCCAGTTGAGGGGCTTCAGCTCCATGATTGATTGGAAAAGTGACCCTAGCTGGAGGTCCACAGAACTTGCAGATGCCCCCTGCCCTCCCCCCAGCCGCTCACTGGGTCCCCCACCAGGCACAGCCGGCTGAGCAGGAGACCAGTGTCCCAGATCCATGATGTCTGTATCCTGCAGGGTTGGGGGGCTGCCCTGAGCCCTGCATGTGCTTGGTCTGAGGTGGGTCAGGGAGGGCCGTACACCTGCTGTGCAGGGCAGGAGGGCGCAGGATGAGGGGGGAGCTGAGGGGCAGGCCCCACTTGCTTCTGCACACCCCGAAGATGGGTCTTACCTCCCTTTGTCCCCCCCCCCATGCATCCTGTCACCTGGTGATAAGTGGCCGGCTCAGGGACACACAGACCACAGCAGGACCAGGTCAGGTCAGATCCAAGGTGCCCTGTGGACAAACCCACCTTTTCTCCTCACCCGGGCAGGGGTGGGGATCAGTGCTCCCTACTTCCAGGAAGCCATCCCCAGACTCCCCGTCCCCACACCCAGCCTGTGTTCCTGTGGTCTCCACCACAGATCAGATGGGCACAGCGCCCAGCTGTCCGGCTCAGATCAGGCCCTTCCTAACCGTCCTCTGTGTGGCCGGGGCCTCATGACCGAGCCGATTAGGGGCCCTGGGAAGGGCTGGACTTTCCTGCACCCACCCCCAGTTCCCTGCCCAGCTCCAGGTCACAGCCCAGGTGGGAAGGTCCCTCTGAGACCCTCCAGGTCAGCGATCCCCTCTTAGAGGTGGGGAAACTGAGGGACGGGGTGGTTGTGTGACGATCTTCCAGGATGTGGCTTCTCGGATGTCCCCCTCCTACCAGGAGCTGAGACTCAAAAGGCGTGTTGAGTGTTTGTTCTGATGAACGACAACAGTGGCGTGGCCTCCGTATGCAGGGTCTGTGCTGAGCCTACGATGGCCCCACACCTAGAGGGTGGGCCTTGGGAAAGGGGGATCTGCCCCTGTCAGCCTGGTTGGGTGGCAGCAGTGTTGGGCCCAAGCCACCCCTCTTGGAGCCCAGGGGCCCTGATGTCACCCAGTGTTGGGGAGCAGGGCAGGTCTGGAGGAGCCCAGCCCCTGACTCCTGAACCCCTAATGTCATCCTGGGGTCAGGGCCCTCACCTGTCCTGGCTCAGTTCACCTCCCCTAGTGGGGACCCTTCTCCCCAACTGTACCCCCTCACTCGGCTCCTGAGGGTGTCCTGTGCCGAGGTGCCCTCCTCCCCTGGCCCTGTAGATACCCTCCCAGTCCAGCGGGGTCTCCTGTTGCCCAGTGAAGGTAGTGGGAGGGTCGACCCCCCAGGTCTGCTCGGTCTCAGCCTGACCCCGCGGAGGGCGGCCTGGCTTACCTGATACAAGGTCTCTCGCCTTCCCCTGCTTGAGTGGGTCTGAGTTCCTCAGCTCCCTGGGCCAGATAGGGGAAGCCGGGGGGTCTGAGGCCCCCTCCCCACTCCCCAAGTTGGGACCCTCACCCACATCTCAAGGAATCCAGGGGCTTCCAGATCTCGTCCCTTGGTCTCTCCCCTGCACGACATGCTTTTAAAGTCTTAAGTGTAGGGGCGCCTGGGGGTGCAGGTGGTTGAGCCCCCGACCCTTGGTTTCGGCTCAAGTTGTGATCTCAGGGTGGTGAGATTGAGCTCCAGGACAGCTCCGCACTCAGCAGGGAGTCTGCTGGAGCTCCTCCTTCTTTCTCTGCCCTTCCTCCACTCATTCTCTCTCTCTCTCTCCCTCTCTCTCTCTCTCTCTCTCTCTCTCTCTCAAATAAATAAGTCTTTAAAAAAAAAAGGCCTGAGTGTATGTATATGAGGCTGGCATCGAGGGAGTGTGACCCCAACGCGGTGAGGTGGCAGGGAGGGGGGAGAAGGAGGGAAGTTTCCAGGTTCTTACCTTTCATGGTCTTAGGATGGGCATGTATAACAGCTGTCATTAAAGAAATCAAAGCTAAAAAGGGAAAACGAAGAGGTTGAGCACGTCGTCTGTCATGGTGGTTACATCAGAGTGAGGGCTCTGTGGGTGTCAGACCACGCAGACCAGGCCCCACTGCCTTCCCGTGTCCTGGGATGGCTCCCGGTGCCCCTCTGTCCCCCGGCACCCCCATCCCCCGCACCTCTGTGTCCCGCACCCTGAGCAGGCTGCAGGAACAGAAGTGAGGGCTGGAGAAGGAAGCTGCTGGATCATTTCAGAATCTCCCCTGCTAAGGACAGGGGTCATTTCTAGAGACTCCGTAGATTAAATGTGTATCTTTGCATCTGACAAGTGGGAGGAGAGAGGCGAATGTTGATCTAGAAAGTTCTGGCCTGAAGAGCCCAGAAAACTCCCGAAAAGTTGATGTTGATTTAGTTCTCCATACGTTCATGTGCGTAATTGTGTCTAAACAGAAAAGCTGAGGGCCAGGAGAACATGGACTTCCAAAGACAAAGGTTAGCACCCTACTTTATAGGAGGACCCGAAAATGAACGAAGAGCCTGCAACGCAGAATTACTCAGTTGGCGAAGGACAGTTTGCACAAGCGGCTGTCAATTGCCGGTGGGCCTGGAGGGCAGCACTCCGCCCGGGGCGGGCCGGCCAGTGGCAGTCCCCGTCGGGCAGACCTGGCTTCCGGGAAACAGGCCGTGTGGCTGCCAGGAGCCTGAGGAGCTGCCGCCACGTAGTCCTGCGTGCTAAGAAGCAATCCTGAGTAGGAGGCAGCTCAACATAGGAACCTCGCCTGCGTGTCACCCTAGAACATCCATAGATGGGGCGACTGTGTGCTGGGGGAGGGGGAGGGGCTCAGATGTCCCTGTGCTGCACGTGGACAACCTTCCCCTCCCCCGCCGAGGGCAAGGGCTCCACCTGTTGAAGGGACTCCTGTCACCCGAACTCATGGAAATACAACCTATACACTGGATGAGACGCCACCACCCAGTCCAGCGTGGAGGTCTGCAGGGTGGGGTGGAACGGGCGCTCTCCCCTCCACTGTGGGGGGCGGGGGGCGGGGCATGTGAAAGCCCGTGGCCTCATCTAGAGAGTGGAGGACGCGCAGGCCCCAGACCGCAGCAGCCACCAACCTGCACACGCCGCAGACACTGGGGGGTGGGCACAGGAATGACCACAGCCACCTGGTCCTAAGACCCCGAACACAGCCCGAGCGGGCACGGCAGAAGTGGGCGCAGCTGTGACACGTGACCATGTGCGGGGAAAGCGAGGCTCCAGGGGGCATCACACTCGATGACACTCAGCCAAAGGTGAGCATGAGCCCCAACACCCCACCTTCCCCGTGGATGCACGGTGTCAGCGGGGGGATAACGGTGCGCGAGAGGAGGGGGGACGGGGTGTTGGGGCGGTGCCCACTCTCAACCCCATTGCAGTGCCTTTTCAATGGTCCACATTGCTCTCCCCGTCCCAAATGCATGATGTCACTCCCCAGGAGAAGGAAGCCATGAGCTGAGAATGGGCTCTTGTCTGAGGGTCTGGGCAGGGGGCATCTCACAGCAACCCCCACACCCCGTGCTCAGGCCCCACGGTGACGGCAGCTACACCAGGCTGTATCCTGGACCCCTTCCCTGTCCCTCGGTGACCCGCACAACCAGAGCCGCAGTGACAACCACGTCTGCTTCCATGCGCTTTAATGAGGATTCGCGCCCACCGGGGCTCCCCGGACAGGGCACGGGGAAGGTGGGCAGAAGGACACCGCCTGCCAGTGTTGTGGGACAGTAGTGGGCTTTCTTCTCCGCCAATCCAGGTGGCAGCTCCAGGGCCTGGGCTCAGGGCTCTTCGGGAACATACTGGCGGATCCAGTCCAGGTAGTAGGTGACCCGGGTGTAGATGCCGGGCCTGTTGGGCTGAGCACAGCCGTCGCCCCAGCTGACCACGCCTGCCTGCAGCCAGGTGCCACTCACCTTGCAGACCAGGGGCCCTCCGGAGTCGCCCTGGAGAGGGGACAGGTCAGTGGGGGCTCAGGAGGCGGGGCAGGCGGGGGCTGAGGGGGTAGGTGCAGGCTCACCTGGCAGGAGTCCTTCTTCCTGTTCCCAGCACACAGCATGTCCTCACGGATGATCTGTATCTTGTCCCCCGTGTTGAGGCCAGAATGGTACTGCATGTCACAAATGCTGTTTTCCACAATGGGCACCTTCACCTGCTTCAGGGGGAACGGCGGTGGGAGGGGCGCTGGGGAGAGAGGCGAGCACGCGACGTCAGGAGGGAAAGCCACTCGTGCCCTGAGCGGGCCGCTGGGGACCCTGACCCCCCCGGGGGGGGCCCAGAGGCTGGGTCAGGGATGTGACCCACCCCTGCTCACCCCAGCCCTCCTGCTGGCCCTGATGCTCACTTCCACTGTTCACATCCCCCCAGCCTGTCACCCAGCATGGCGTTCCCGTGGGGAAGGTCTCCGATGCAGAGGGCAGGGTGACCGGCTGGACGTGGGGGGAGATGTTGACGGGGTCCTCAAGCTCCAGCAGGGCAATATCTGCCCCGTTCTCGATTATGTAGTAGTCGGGGTGCATGATGACCCGGTTGACGGGCAGCAACCTGTCCTGGTAGTAGAGGTGCTGCTCCCTCAGCTGCACCCTGATTTCTGAAGGATACGTGATGGCCCTGGGGAGAGCAGGCGGCCACTCAGGGGGCCTGAGCAGGCTGCTGGCCCCCCGGGCATGTGGGTGGAGCCCCGGCCCCACCCGGCCCCACCCGGCCCCACCCGGCCCCGGAGCCACTCACGGTCCCATGCAGTGTGCGGCGGTCAGCACCCACTGTGGGTGGATGAGGGAGCCCCCACAGACGTGCCTCCAGTACCCGTGGTGGACTCTCAGGCTCACCTGCCAGGGCCACCTATTCCCAGGGGCTTCCTGGCCCCCTACGATGCCCATTCGCTCCAGCACCTGGCCTGAAGCTGGGGTCAGAAGCGCCTTTAGCACAGGGCACAGCCTGGCCCTGGGCTCAGCTGTTCCCTGTGCCCCCACGACCCCGGGCTTCTCGGCACCCGTCCACCCAATCATCACGGGGCATGTAGGGTGAGGGGGCAGGGACGGGGCTGGACCACGGTTAGGACTCACCAGGGGACGCGTGGACCAGGCTCCCCAGGAGGGGCAGCACCAGCACCAGCAGACTCAGCATCTGAAAGGAGCAACGTGGGGGGGCAGCAGGGCCAGGCTGGGGGTCTGCAGGGTACGACGTGCAGATGGAGTGGGGCCCCCCGGGACCAGGGGTCAGTCAAGGCCTGGGGGTCTGGGTTTCGATGCTCTGGATCTGGGGCTCCTCTGCTCTGCTCCACAGCAACACCCAGATGTTGGGTTCTCGGGGTGGGGGGCTTATCTTGGCCGACCACTGGTGCTATGAACCCAGCCCACTCTCCCCTGCCCATTTATCCTTCCTGGCCAGGAGGCGGTCAGAGGAGGGGCCTTGCATCCTCCAATCCAGAGTGAAGGAAGTGGATGATTCAGATGAAGGTCGTCGTACGACATGTGTCCCCACCACCCAGACACCCATCTGGGTCCACAGGCCCCAAGGGTGGGCATACAGCCAAGCAGAGGACTAGTCAGCCCCCCCTCCAAGGGGGGCATGGCTTCCTAGGCTCTGGATGGCTAAGATGCCTACCAGTCTGCATGCAGTGGCTACCGGCTCCCCTCTGTGGATCGGGGCTCCCACGTCTTGCCTGGACTGGGAACGGGGTGTTTGAGTGTCCCTCCCTTTCTCGGCAGGCTGATCCCTGGCCCTGAGGCAGCTCTCCTTCCAGGTACGCCTCTCCTCTGCCCAGATGTAGAACGAGGATGCCCCCAGGAGGCCTTCAGGTATGGCTGCACCCAGGGACAGTGGTGCTGTCCTCACTATGTGACCTGTTTCCCCCAGGGAAGTTCATGTCCATGGGCTACCCTCAGAGGAGCAGGGAGGCGCCCAGGGACAGTGTCCCCCTCCCCACATCTCTGCCTGTCCTCTGCATCTTCCCTTCCAGGGCGGGGCTGACATGCACCCCCCAAATCACACGAGGAAACTGCCTTGGGCAGGACCAAGCCAAGTGCCTCCACACAGGAAAGGGCCCTGCTGTCCCCACCCGGGATGGCAGGCCCGATTCCTTGGGGACCCCACAACGCCCGCCCCTGGCTGTTACTGAACAGTTCTTAGTAGGGTGGCCATCTTAGTAGTGCCATCAGCAGTCGGGGGGCAGATGGAAGTGACAAGGAGATAACCACCCCCTGGACGCTGTCCCCACCAGGCTCCACAGCCAGGGCCGGCTCCCGCCCCGCCTGTCCACCTGCCCACCTCCTCCCTCTCCCCTGGGCCTACTGGTCACCAGGGCCTCCTGCCCACCTCCCCACCTCACGGCCCCCGGGCCCCCTGCAGCCCCCACGCTGCCATCGGGGTGGCCCCTCCCCTAGGGGGGCCTTGCCCTGCCCCCACCCGGCCCAGACAGCAGCCTGGCTCTGTGTGGCCCCAGCGGCATCTCTCCAGGTGGCCAGTGCTCAATCCCGGTCCTCTCCAGATTGAGGTTTAGTTGTCTGTCTTGTGACCTCAGTTCTCTGATTCTCTGACCATTGAAAAGATGTTTCTAGGGATACTCAGGCACTGTGATGGGGTTGAGAGTGGGCACCACCCTGACACCCTGTCCCCCCTCCTCCCGCGCACCGTCATCCCCCCACTGACACCGCGCATCCACGGGGAAGGTGGGGCATTGGGGCTCATGCTCACCTTTGGCTGAGTGTCATCGAGCGTTGACGCCCCCTGGAGCCTCGCTTTCCCCGCACACAGTCATGTGTCATGGCCACGCCCACTCCTGCCGTGCCCGCTCGGGCT